TCCTTTGACTTATGGGGGTTATGGCACATTTGTTGTGAAAACAATATGCCTAACATACCCCACCAAAACCATACTAACAATTAAAGCAGAAAGTGTGTGATGGAGGCTGGGAGGACAGTTCCATTGCAGAATGTTACAAAAGAATTTGGAATAAGCTCTGCCAATTTATGATCAAAAACTTCCAGAATCTTTTGAAGTGCATGAAAACAAAAATTTGAAAGGTAGCACACTGTTTGATTTTGTTAAACTGCAGACTGAAATACAAGCTGAAGTCATAACACACATATTTGCCAAAAAATTTCATAGTTCATATTTTTTGACAAAATTCCAATAAATTTGACCCAACATTCTACTGTCTTCCAAAAACGGGCCATATAAAAGTTTAATTGTTATCAGAGTGAGTATGTCACGTTCCTGAATCTCTCATTCAAGAAAATGCTCATTAACCAAATATTATTTTAAAGGTTCAAAAATGTGACGATTTGGTATCCAATTCAAATTTTTAAAAATACATAAGAGTATGATGACATATATCTAGTTTATAATAGATTTTTTTTGGTGCAGTAACTAGGAATCTGTTCATGTGGAATAAAATTTAAAGGTTTAATATAAACTTAGAACAATTATGTTAAATCAATTTAAAAAGAGAAAAATTTAAACTTATCAAAATATCAACTTTTAAAGTGAAAGAAGAAACATATTTTTTTATTCTATAAACGTTTTCATTCAAATATTTCCTTGGAATAAAAATACACATGCTCAAAACAATATCTTCACATTTTTGGATCCTTTAATTATCTGTAATGTTAAACAAAGTACAACAGAATACAATTTTAATACGAATAGTTTGTCTTGCATTGAAAAGTTAAAAGGTAACAGAAATAAATCATTTTGTTACACACTTTATCATTTTAAACTTACTAGGAAAAAGTACTGTAGACCAGTGGCATGCTGTCCTTGGAAACGGTGGAAGTGTTGCTTCCCTTGTATTTTCTAAAATATAAATACATATTGAGCGATTATTTTCATATTTTAACATACTTTGAGTTAATTAAAATTAATATTTTATTATAACCATATTATGTATCTTATTACAAATTTCTTTACTATGTGTGAAAAAAATGATAAGGTTGCTATTGTATATTCAAATATCAGTGGTGGAATGGAAGTGCTGTATTGTCAAAACCGGGTCAGTTTCCAAGCAGCCAGATTATACTCATTCGTGCATGCGCTTTACAGAGCACCAACCTCATGCAGTTTAGCTGGTGGAAGCTACACACCAAAATATCATATAAAAGTATCACTTCCAATGATTCTATCCAGGACCAGTTCTGGGCTGTTAACTGCCTTCCTGCTAGATATTTGACCACCCTCACCCAATTATGTGAATCATGAGTAGATTTATAACTTAATCCAACCAATAGGAATTTACTGGTATGTTTTTATGATAGTTCTGTATAGTTGACAGGAGTTTTAAAAAATCCATTAAAATATTTGATATTTTTATTCTGCTCTCCCATCTTATATTACTTAAAGATTTCAATGTCCCATCTATAAGTGTAAAATTGTGTAAAAAAGTAGAAAAAAAGTGTACAATTCTTGTACAATGTTAAAAAATTAACTGTTACTTTGGCAGCATCATTTACAACTAAATTTAATGAATGAGATGCACAAGATACAAAAATCCTCTAGAATTTATTTTCCTTAAATTTACGATTTATATATCCGTTGTCATAAAAATTTGTCTTTCCACTATTTTTTGAAGACTACAAATATTCAAGTACAAAGTAACCAGTTTCCACTTATTTCTATTTAAGAAGTACAGTAGTTAAATAATTAAGAGATTGGGGGATTAGGGACCTAAATAAAACCCTGCTGAAAGAGCCGAAATTTTACTTAAACGAAAGCTTAACTGAACCAATCTCTAGCCGGGTACAGTGGGGACTGATTTCTTTATAATATTAGATGTAATAAAGACAGAAATTTTTCCAATTCAATGAGAGTGACCGAAAAGTTTAAATTTTGGAAATTTCATGGACACCTGGTTTTAAAATGAATTAATTAGAAAACAAATGACTATTAAGTTTAACATACTGCTACTTTGGAAGAAAACTGGCATAACTCAAAAAAAGTGCAATTTTTCGATTGTCCTATCAAAATGAAAATGTAGTAAATTTTTATGTGGAAGAGTGTCACAAAAGTAACTTGTGTATTCGGCCACTAGGGAGCAGTTATGTGGGAGATAAGTGATATTCAGTTAAACTTTGGTTAAATCTTTGCATGGGATTTTCTCAAAACTAGTAATTTTGAGTTGTGCCGGTTTTCTTCCAACGTATCGATGTGTAGATTTTTACATTATGGTAAGAAACGTTTAAAATCTACAACAACCTTGTCGTGTCCTTTTGAGATATACTAGTGATGCGACAAAAGAGGTATTTGACATTGTCCAGTATCGGCACCCTGGGGATTTGGCAGTCCGTGTGTATGCATGCACTGCAACAGTCTCTGATTCCATCCATTAGTCACTTGTAGGGAGCTATTTGACTAACTTGTAAGTGGATTGTTTTAAGATTTAAAAAGTAAAGAATATTTTATTTTTATGTACATTTCTTTACAAAGCTATATTTAATTATAATTTTCTTTAAAAGTATATTCATACAATTGAAGAATATTTTGTACTAGGTATGTACTGTACATCCACACACATTTTATTTCACCAAGTAAGTTTTTATTATTTTATTTTTAATTGTAGCCCTTATATCATGGCTAGTGATTCAGAATGTAATTGTGATATTAAAAATACATTTAGAGAAGTCGGCTGTTTTTACTGGCTTACTGAACAAATGAATACGAATGAACCCTAGACCACCACTGACGCGCAATTAACTGATTGCCCTTGGAAGTCGGCTTCTTACAGAAACAGCTTCCCTATCATCAAATGTCACAGCATGCCACTGCTGTAGACTATTTTGTTTTATAGTGGTTCCTTTTTATTTTTTTGTCTTGCAATGTTCTGCATTGGCCAGTTGCTTGATACAATAGAGGTTAAAAGTGACCTTCTACAGTATTTACATGCTTGGTGCAGCAAAGCATTTATGAATTATAAGGAAAGTACCTCGTTCACTTAAAGGTTTGCCTTGCGTAATCAGGGTTCTACCCAGTGGTGATATTTGAAATATTTAACAAAGGGTTCGCTAACAGAAAATTTTTCCTTAACAATTTTTTTTCGCTCAAACGGTGCATTAGCAACATTAGAGCAAAAACTGACCTTAAGATATTCATATAAATAAAAAAGATGCGTTCGCAAAATTAAGTCAGTTAAAGTTTAACATTGTTTATGCCAGAACTATATTTACTATTTATAAAA